GCGCCTCGCCTCACCACGCACACATCCTCCTCCTCACCACGCACCCCGACTCCCCCCCTGCTCACCACTCACCCCGACTCCTCCCCCCCTCCTCACCACGCACCCCGGCTCCTCCTCGTGGGGTTTCTCCGCCCGGGCTGCCCACGCACTCCTCAACCCGCTGCCGAGTCTGTGATACGCGCCGTAGCCGGGTGCTGCGTGCGCCGTGGCTCAACAGTTTATGAGCTTTGAGGACTCTCTCTAACATCACTCTCCTCTCGAACATCACTCTCCTCTCGAACATTATCTCTGCCTGAATGCCTGTCCTCTTGATCACGTTCTCCACTTTGGACACGGACTATGTATAACGCCAATGCATTTACCAGCAAAGCCTCAATGAGCCCCGGTGTTCTTTAAGCCGGGTGCTCGTGGCACCGCACGTGGCCTGCAAGCCGAGCGGCGTGGGGGCGAGTTCGAGACGTCGTCCTGACCCAAGGCGAGGCGCCACTGCGGCGGGGTGGTCGAGGCTAAGGCCGCAGCGACAGCCAAAGGAGGGAACGGCGACTGAGAGGAGCGCGCTGGGTGGACCGTGACGGTGGAAGGCCCTGAGAGATGACAACGCCTCGGAGAGGCCTCCGTCCAGCAGTTGATAGAGCACGGCGGATGATGATGACGACGACGACGATGATAACTAATCCCATCTTGCATTGTTCTGGCATTGCTACTGCACCGGCGTTATTAACTGGCGTTATTATTACTTAGTAGGCATAACAATAATATATAGGAGGTCCCATGAAATAATTTATAGTGTTATATTTACACGGCGTGGCTGCGCGTGATACGTATGGCTATGAGTGCGGTGCGTGGGAAGGGTTAACAGTAATTATTATTTCGCATCACGCAGAGCGCTCCTTTCTCATTAATTTTCACCGTGACTTCGTATTCCAACCCGAGCCCTTTCCTCGGCCATCCATTCCTTCCGATCCGTCTGTCCCACCACCTCCTCCTCCACCCTCCACTCTCGACCCCTCCCCTCCCGCCCCCTCAACACCACCCATAGTGCAGAAGCACTCCATGCTCGAAGTAGCGTTACATTTACCAGCCTGTTAATATTAAAGCGAATAAGGCCACCCCGAGCAGGGGTCACGGCGAAATGTAAAGACACTTGTATGGAGGTCAAAACAAATGAAAATAAAATCTTGGGCAAAATTCATTTATTCCAGTCTCCCACCACCCGACTCTCCCTTCCAACCACCCAGCCACTCGGCCACCCCAGCCACCCACCCAGCCACTCGGCCACCCATCCAGCCAAACGCCTATCCACCCAGCCACCCATTCAGCCACCCACCCAGCCACCCAGCCACACACCCAGTCACTCGGCCACCCATCCAGCCAAACGCCTATCCACCCAGCCACCCATTCAGCCACCCACCCAGCCACCCAGCCACACACCCAGTCACTCAGCCACCCATCCAGCCAAACGCCTATCCACCCAGCCACCCATTCAGCCACCCACCCAGCCACCCAGCCACCCAGCCACACACCCAGTCACTCAGCCACCCATCCAGCCAAACGCCTATCCACCCAGCCACCCATTCAGCCACCCACCCAGCCACTCAGCCAGCCACTCAGCCACCCACCGCTATCTGTACCTCTCATTGCCAGCGAGCGTATGTCGTGCTCAGGATTTCTGCCGCTGTGTAACGGTTCGCACACCGCGGTGTCACAGTTCACCCACCGCGTTCACAGTTCAGAGGTCACCGGTTCCATTCAATCTGCCGGCCGCGGCAGTTAGAACGTTGAGTCAAAAGTCTTCCACCTCCTACCATCCCTCTCTCGTCGGCAGCTGTCTTCTTCACTCATCTGACGCCATCTTTGTCTTTGCCCACATCGCCCTCATTTCACTTCATCTCTGTCTCGTCTGCATCGAGGAGTTAATGCATAGACGGCGAGAGGTCCCAAAAAACGATTTATAAATAAGCCTCCACTAACCCCCACCCCCCCTTACACCAGCGCCGTCCCAAGCACAGAAACGGTACACCACCACCACCTCCTCCTCCTCGGCACTCACCTCCCGTCCCCCGTCACCACTAATGGTCGGGTTGGCCACGCGGCAGCAGCGGGGGTCTCTTCTGTGTCAGTCGATTGCTGGGCCGTGATTTGCGCAGCGTGCCGTAAAACGGCTTGGACGTCGGGCGGAATCGCAAGATGATTTTGCATAAAATGCTGGCGGTGCAAACGTGGAATTTGCGTGATCATGAGAAGCCCTCGTGTTAGCGATGGGGTGCTGATAATTATTTATGGATGCCACTAGAGTGGTGTGACGGTCGATTGCGCTGGATTTCAATGCAGAGCTTCGCCGGTTCGATTCAATCTCCCGGATCTGCAGTGGAAATAACGAGGCGAGTTTATTAAATTCCTCTCCCTCCCCCTGCCGCCCTCTCCCTGATTCCCGCTATTCGCTACCGCCTCTGTTCTGCCAGCAGTGTGAATGTGTACACCACTGTCGGTCGATCGACAGGCCGCATGTGGCCAGTCAGAGCATGCCTCTACTCCCGTCTCTCTTCGAGGGGCGCTCGAGCACTGCCTCCAACGGAGGCCCTTCCGTCAGCAGTGATGTGAGCTGGCAATTGCAGTGCTGCGCCTTTGCCGTTGTATTATTATTATTGTTATTTTGTATTTCACCCGACCCTGGTTATTGTTTGAAACACAGTGCATATTGTTTCAACGACCTTAACAACTACATTTACGACAGCAACAACGACGTTAAGAAATACAAAAAAAAAGAACAATTGAGAATATATTAACAGGTACGTAGATTTCCATTTGCCGTTAAAAAATAAACTTGTTGGCAGATTCATCTGCTCCAAAAGCAAATGTATATCCTTAACAAGCGAAAAAAATATCAGATATTTTATTTGGTTAAAAGTGATAATAAATCCACGAGCCAACCTTTGTCCCTCCACTCTGCATAATGCAATGGATTTAAATTCCGAGCGCTCATCCACAATTAGGAGGAGTTATGCCCAGAGTGAGACGTTCAACTTGCGAGAGAGGGAGAGATAGGAAACTGTCAGTCTTTTTGTTTTTGTCCACGTGGCCCCCACTGCGACTCCCCCCCCCCCACGCGCATACCTCTACACCAAAGACAAAGGTCCCCCGTATAGCCTTAACACACAGTTGGGGCAAGAGCTGTTCGCGAGCACCTATGATGGCCAGAAAGGCACGCGAGGGAGCGGGTGGCCAGCACCACCCCAGATACTCATTTTAGGCTGGGTCGACTTAGGGGAGGCCCAGAACCGGTTCAGATAATCGTCACTGGGTGTTGGCCGTGAGCGGGAATCGAGCCCGGGTCGCCAGGTTCATAGCGCAGCATGCTAACCGCTACACCACCGCTACACACACACACTCACAGACACCCTCACACACACACTCACACACACACTCATACACACTCATACACACGCGCGTTCGCTGCCTGATATTAACATGCAGGGCTAATTACCGCCGGTTTCAAGAGAAAGGCTGTGGCGGCTCTGTCCCCTGACCTTTTTTTTAGAATATAAACTCTCACCGGTGAGAGATTACATTACCGTCTACGCCAATTTGTGTCAAACGCATCACAAACGCAGCCTGGGGGCTGTAACCTTCGTATTATATATATACATATATACACGTATTTTATACAAAGCACATTTTTTTTATAATTAGTCTTATTTTCTTTGAATAAAAAAAACGCGTGTGTGTGTGTAGACGTGTGTGTATTTTTACTGATGACCTTGAAGGTTTATAATTGGCTGGCAAGAATTTAAATTAGTTTTGCTGTTATACACCACGCATGTGGGTGTTTTGTGTGTGTGTATAGAGGGTGGCCCAAAAGTCAGGACACATATGGTAATTGTATTTACTATCGCAAATGACAAAGGGTTATTTAATTCATTTTAAACCTTGTTAAAACTGGCTGCCAATAACACGCATACATTCTCTATTGGAATTAATTTAGGACTTTGTTTTAGGGACTACATGTGCAATATTTGAGCATTCATCAATTGCGTTTTCATTCTTTGAGGGTTATTGGTCGGGTTTTATAAACACCATCTGAAAAGGAGGAAGAAAACAATTGTCGCTAATAACGATAAGAGATGAAATATTAACTTAAAGAATAAATAATTAAATGTTTGAATGCCAGTGTTAAAATACATGTAAACCATCTGTCCTGGCTTTTGGGGCACCCAGTATAATAACCCCCCTATGTGTCCTATCTTTTGGGCCACACTTTAAATTGCCGTAAATCTGCTCAAATCTGACGTTGTTCATTTGAGCCGGGCTGCTATTTTCGTGGAAGAGGCGAGAGCTTTGGGTCAAGACCGCCCCTTGTTCGCTAATCAAGTGAATGATGGAGCGATCAGGATGTGGTGAGACCAAATCCAGCCATGCCCTCTCTGGCAAAGCTCTTGCCCCCTCTGTCACACATTCTTGGTTTCTTACACACACACACCGACGCATAAATATCGCGAGACAAACGCGACCACTCACCCACCACCTCGTGTGCCGTGCCAGCCTTCATAGCGGTGCTCGTTAACAGTACTTGCCCCAACAGTCCGTTACAGGTTATGCGGGGGGTCTTTGTCTGTTTGTGTGTTCCATCCTCACCTCTCCCGGTCTGTCCGCTGACGCTCTCCGTGGGTGCCTCGTGTGTCTGTGTGTCCGTGCCGGCGGCACGAGCGGTAGCATCGCGGTTAGCGCGCTGCCTAACGAACCCGGCCATTTTTTTAGTTATTTCGCGTAAATATATAAATGCGTCGTTAAACCCGCCACCACCCGACACAGCCAATTAGTAAGGATTGTCACGTAAACAGAACGTGCCATCTAGTACAGCACACCGGTGTGTCGGAGAGCCAAGCCACAACATTTACAATCTGACCAGTAATTGCAACGAGCTTCATCAGGCGACAGCCAGACGCTCTGTCGAAGGCTACCACGTGGGTGCGTGGGGGATCTTCTTTGTCGTTTGCGCGCAGGTGCAAGTGCAACCTGCACGCCAACACGTGCCTCTTCAACGACGGGCGCCTCGCGTGCGACTGCGAGCACAACACCATGGGCACCGACTGCAGCCGCTGCAAGAAGGGATTCCGCGGCGGCGCGTGGAGGCCGGGCTCCTACCTGCCCTACCCGTCGGGCACCGCCAACCCGTGTGGGTGCCCGCACGGCGCGCCGCGCGCGCTGCCCACAGCAGCCTCGACGGATTGTTGAGGCTGCGCGGGACACGCCGGTGCAAACACACACGCACACACGTGGGTACACGGCTATACGCATGGAGATTTTATATACATGGACACGTGGACACAAAGACTAAGATGTGCCGTTACAGCCCCGACATGTTTTGAGGTTCGGAGTAATATGTTGTTGGTATTACGATTGTGATTTTTTTTATTGTGTGGCGTTTACCCTGGAGAGATAAACATGCGACGTGGGATATTGTCGCGCAACAACTCCCCCCGTGTAGCCTCGAACACCCTGTTGGGGCCGGCGCTGTCAGCGAGCACCTATTAAGGCTGACGCAGTGCACACGAGGTGGTGTGGCCGAAAACTACGCCTGGCCATCGTAGTCTCTGGACTGGCGATGTTTACACACCGCATCCGGTACTCGTTTAAGGCTGAGTTGACCTAGGGGAGTCCCGAGAGCGGGTCAGATAATCGTCACTGGTGTTGGCCACGAGCGGGAATCCATCTCGGGTCATTAACCACTACGCCACCGCTCCCGACGAGTCTCCAACTCCAATAAGACAAAGCACCTTTAAAGCCTCAACAGACTGTAGGGGAAAGTGCTGTCAGTGACAACCTCTAAAGGCCGGCACGGCACACGAGGGGGTAGGTGGCCAACACCACGCCCGACCGTCTTTGTCTCCCTATTGGGAATGTTTACACATCGCACCAGGTTTAAGGCTGAGTCGACCTAGGGGAGACCCGAGAGCGGGTCAGATAATCGCCACTGGTGTTTGCCGTGTGCGGGAATCGAACCCGGGTCGCCAGGTTCATAGCGCAGCGCGCTAACCGCTACACTACCGCTCCCCGCTCTCTCCTACTGCACACACACAAACAAAGATAAGTATCCCCCGTATAGCCTGTAACAGACTGTTGGGGCAAGTGCTGTGGGTTACACACACACACACAGATAGATATCCACAAACCCGCACATGTAAACATGTTTGAACCTGTAAAGAGTGTCTGCCGTAGCTCACGATGCATTCCTCCCCCCCTCTGCCTCTCTCCTGTTGTCGTCGTGGTTGCAGGCCAATCGAGTGACACTAAACGTGAGTACGTTTTAAGTCTCCCTAATTGAGTTGTAGAATCAATGTTCGCGGCGCGTGCAGCCCCGCGGTTGTCTCTGTCACCAAGCGAATCCGCGACTGGTAAATGGTGGGCCTGGTTATGTTCTGCGTCTCCACACGGGTACATTTGTCCAGCAGAGCAAGTGTCTGTTTACGCGAGCCCGACTCCGTATCGGTTTCGATCTTCTGGCTCTCATCAGCTTGCCAGGCGTCGTTAAACGGAACGCCGCGGGATTGCCACCCGTCACGGCTGCGTGTTGTTGTTGTACTTCCGCGTAAAATTGGGGTCGCAGCGGTGGCGAGGTGTTCACTACCTCGCCTGGTATACAGGAGGTCGTATGTTCGATCCCTGCCCTGACGCCTGCTGTATACAGCATTTGGGCTTTTCGTGTCTCTCTCCCCGTGGTCGCGTGGATTTTTCTCCGGGTTGCTCCGGGTTTTCCCTGAATCCACATCACTTCGTTGAGCTATCATTTGTGGCCAGGTCGCTTCTGAAAAAGAGCTACATAGCTCAGTGAGCCTTACCTGGTAAAATAAAAAAAGTTTAGTTTTAGTTGAACTAGTTTAAACTCAGCTGTAATCATAATTAGTATTATAAAACAAACAGTGATATATTCCACCCTTTTGTCAATCTGCTAGATGATAAAGGTTTCTCAGCAGTCTTTCGGGCTGTTTGACCATACTTCACCACGCTGGTCACTGCATATTGGTTCAGGAGAGAGGGAGGTTCCACGACAATGGGGTTCGAATGTCACTCGCCACTGATGTGAGCCGTGCCACCCATGAATAGCGTGCATTGCGCGAACCGCTGCGCCACCGCTCCACCCCCAGTTCACAACAACGGGCGCTGTGTACAACAAGAGGCTCGCAGCCTTCGGCGTCATTCAAAACCACCAGTTCCTGAAGAACTGCATTGGAATGGAGGGGATTTTTCCCTTTAAGTCACCATGAATAAATTGAGCCAGTGTGACAAAAACAACAGGCAGTACTGTGATACGACAGTAGACCGGTTTCATACCATTTTATTTAAAACGTTAAGGACATTCATCGATGGTGACTTAACTAGTGGTTTAATTTGCAAAATCCTTGGGGCCGAGAGATTCTGGGGGCATGCAACATGCACGTGTGTCTGTTGTTGTCGTCGTCAACATTTCTCGTCCTCCGCCCTGCACTCATTTTCTTGACTATTTGATGATTTGAATAAACCCCAGTCACGACATCAACAACAACAGCCGCCATTTGCCACCCACTCAGGGGCGGTGACTTCATCACAGCGCTTGTGCCAGGCTAGGTGCACTTTGAGGCCCTGCGAGGTGTGGAAGACTCGCTGCTGACAGGAGGTCACGGGAGAGACCCAGGAGTTTTATATTGACTGAGCGTGATGACTGAAAGATGCACGCACGTAGACAAAGATTCCCCGTATAGTCTTAACAGGCTGTTGGGGCAAGTGCTGTTAGCGAGCATCTATGAAAGCTGTCATGGCACACGAGGGTATCGGCGTGGCCAGCACGACGCCCAGCCGCCTTTGTCTCCCCAATGGTGATGTTTACACATCGCACCAGGCACTCATTGGGGCCGAGGCGACCTAGGGGAAGCCCACTACTGGTTAAGATAATCTTCACGGATAATCGAGTGACGGATAATCGAGTTTGACTGCAGGCCTGTAATTCAGATCGAACTTCTGGGCGGACGGAGAGGTGGAAGGGGGGGGGGGGTCAGTGCGCGGGGGGAAAGAATGGGAGGGGGGGGATTAATAAAATTGCGACATCGTTTCAACTGCCGCGCCGGGCGATACAAAAAAATTCGTGCCGACGACCTCGGCATCGCACATCCAGTGCGCTCACTGTAACAACCACAGCAGTGTCCGTCGCCTAAATAGAAATATTCCTCGCAGAAGTGGGTTCTAATTATAGATTTTGAAGCTTTCGTGACTGCAAGAATTCATATTCTTAGGTTTTTTCGGTAAAGTCACGTAGGTAAAAATTAAAGAATAAAAATGAATAATAAAAATAATAAAAACAATAATATAACTAAAATAATAAATCACGACGTTTCGGAGGCAACACAAGCTTCCGTCTTCAGGTGGAACCGTCACAGCACAATTGCTGTATCAAGTAAAGAGAAGTCCCAAGAGACCCGACCTTATATATACTGGTTAAGGGGGGGAGGAGCCTACGTGACTTTACCGATAAAACCTAAGAGTATAAGTGGATTCTATTTTGCCGAAACTTTCATTTAGAAAATTACGGCTTTTAATTAACCGTGATTTTTGTTGTTGTTGTTGTTGTGGGTGGGAAGTCATGGGTGTCCGAGCCGGGACCATCAACCCGACGCACTTGAGAAGCCGGTTGAACAGAGGTGGCTTCCCAGGTTCATGAAACCCGCGTGCTCCTTGCTGGTGGCAGCATCTCACTGAGCCACGCGATGCACCCCGACTCCTCTGTAATTCTGATTTGTTAATTAGTGCACACTGCGCGTTTCAAATTCGGTAATGAATGTTATTTCTTTTTCCTTCCTCCCCGTCAACAATTTACTGCGCCGGCTTGAAATACTTTCATGGGAATAATTAGCGGTGGGAACTAATGAGCAATGTTAGTTTAATTTAGCTGAATGTGTGTATTTAGGGGGTTTGTGTAAAGAGCTAAATAGACGGACTTTATTTACGGTAACGCAAGCGCCCATTGAGAGCACAAGTCTCTTATTCAAGAGAGACCCTGGATTGAATTAAATACAGCAAAATCAGCACGGATTTACGCAAAGATACATTGACCTACAGGGACCCGTATATTTGCATAGACACCCATAGCCTTACACAGAGACCCACGGCGTTACACATAGACCCATAGATGTAAATTGAGAGCCACAGACTCATACGGAGACTTACATAGAGATCCACAGATTTGCACACTGACTGACGTCGAGACGTATGGAGAACCATAAAGCAGAATTACGCAACAGTACTTACACAGAGACCAACAGTCTTACATAGAGACCCATAAACTTACATAGAGATCCTTCGACCTACACAGACACCCATAGATTTACACAGAGACACATAGATTTACGTAAACACAAGAGCTATATGAAGAGGCAGGAGACCATTCAGAGGCGGAGTCTCCTAACTAAGGGAGACCTTAAGTCAGTAGAGCAGAACAGCACCGCCAGTGTTAAGGGCCCTGGAAGATAACATCACAGAACTACTGCTGAATTGGGACATCGAGGCGGTACTCCTTTCCTGTTTACATCCCTGAATCTGTGGTGGGCATTCCACATCCCTATGTCGGGAGCGAGTTTTGTAATTTAAAAAAAACACTTTTGACTTCCCAACAAAGTGGCCCTACTCATTGCATCCATCCCGGAAAAATAATGGGCTGAGTCAACCCACCCAACTGGGATTTGAACACGCGCGGCCTTCCCATTGCGAACAGCTCCACACCTTTTCATTCCGCCTTCGACGAGGTTAGAGGACCCACGCTCTACCCCGCCGCTGACTGTGGTTGCAGCCATTTACACTGCTGGGCAGACAGAAGCCGGGCTGGGGGGTTTAAGAAACCTGCACATCGTTTTAACTGCCGCGCCTGGAGATGGGATAGAACCAGAGACATTTCGATTGCAAGTCCAGTGCGCTGACCATCACTCCACGGCAGCGTTCTCGCCGTCTGTAGTTCTAATGAGTTTGCAGGCGGTGCCATTTGTTGACCTGTGCCATCTCTCTCTTTAAACCAGCTCAGGCCTCCAGGAAACCACGTGACTTCTGTGTGGCCACACCCACTCTGAACCCCCTCCCCTCTCCCCGCCCACTGTGAAAACAAACGCCGCTCCTCTCTGTGCGGAAGCAGCGTCGAGACCCTGATGCAGCTTCTTCCTCCCTCTCCTCACCTCTCCTGAATCATTTGCTCAGATTCTCCGTTCCTTTCCCATCATTTTTCTCTCATTCCCCATTCATTCTCGTATATCTCTCTCTCTCTCGTTCCGTTTGTCTTTTCCCCCATCCATTACGCCCTTGACTCTACTCCCCTTCACGCGGTGTAGCCACGGGTAGCAACGCCTTGACGTCGTTGAATTTTAAAGACAATGCTAGTTTGGCCTTTCCCACCCAGACCACTTGCATGCCCCATCACCGTTAAAGTTACATAAGCCTGTCAATTATTACATGAACGAATGCCCTTGAAATCAACTGATGCCCTTGAAATCCAAATTAATTCCTGGTTGGTGGAAGACAATGTAATGAATAATTAGTACTTGTGGTGGAGACCGTTATTGGCTATTGTTCAACGTTAATACATTTTCAGACTTATTTGTATTAAATTAGAACAGAGCATTGCATCGTGCTTTTCAATGAACACTTCTCCTGGCCCATTGACTACTGGCAGTCGAGGACAAACTCTATCACGTCAAAAATAACATAAACAATAGGTCAATTAAACCTTGATGTACAAGCAAATCATTATATAATAAGTACTCATACAAGACTTACATAAACCATTCCAGTTACGAATCATTACAATATGAATATTATTCGATGAGCAATTCAAAGATGAATAATTCGATTATCTGGCAAACACATGTACACCCCTTTGTCAATTCGCTATTACACGAGGCGTTTCAAAATCTCTCTACTCTATCTCATGCAAAACGTAAAACTAAATTATGGCTGTAATTTGTTTTTAATGCACAAATCAAGTATTGTTAGACTTAACATGAAGCACGGTCTCCGATTCACAATCGATCTTTGGATTAGGCCACGCACCAACCTGGCCAAATTTACGTTGTTGAGACCTCCACCACTCTTCCAGCTCACCGGTGAGTTGAAGAGCAATTCTCAGAACCACACTGAGCAGCAATCGGATGCGCTGTTTCGCTTGAAGCTGCGCCAAGCATCATCAGGACAAGATCCAGGGAGTCCGAATGATTTGAATCTGGAGAGTCGTGGGGCCTCACTCAAAAAAATCAATGACAAACAAAGCATTGTTGAGTGGGCT